CATCTGTGCAGTGTTAATGAATAAATGCTGTTCCTGAACTATCACAAAATTCTGAGCCATGAATTTTGATAATGTTTGAACAGTTATTTATAGGCATAAACTACCCTCTATTTTTTCAAATCCTTTTCAGAAAAAGCTTTGTATCTTAAAGTTTTCATTTTTGCTGTAATCCATTCGCAACACTTTTATCAGTTGTACACTCCTAAAACTCCCTAGTTATATGTTATCAAAGGTGAAGAAAGAATATATAACTTCTTGCTGTACAAAATACTATAAAAAGTGCACAGCAAGAAAACAGTTAAATGGATCTTGTTCAGCTGTTCCCAGACCACTCATCAAGAAAAAAAACCCCTGTTTTACAAATATGTTTTTAAACATATTTTTCCTCCTCACCTTTTTTTAGTATAGCAGATTTCATTACTCCATGGCAGGATGATTCATCCATTCCTGGTCCACAAATTCCTAGACTTTATTCTTACACCTGGAATCATGCTTAGGAGCTAGATGGTTGTAACTGCATGGAAGAGGTATCCTAACCCAGTCATATCTTACATACCCTACAAAAGATACCTAAAGAAGTACCTGCCTTCCTTGAGGGGGGCCCATGGTAATTTTTATCTCCCCTTCCCTGGCAGCTCTTGACCTAAGGGGTGCAGGGAAGGTTGGAGGATCAGTGGCTTGGTGTGCACTGGACCTCCCTGGGGACATGAGAGACTGTCCCCTACTGACAGCTCAGCAGGGAAGAGGAGAGGAGATGGTGAGGAGTATCCTGACCCACCATCTAGAGCATGGAGGTGGCTAAGATGGGTGTTTCTGTGGAGAACAGGCTCACAGTCTGTAATTCTGGCTGTGTTTGTCAAGGGCAAAGGGTAATTGTCTTGCACAAGCTGTTTAGTCTTCCACTTATCTATAGTGTGCTGGTCCTATCTTCTGATTCCATGGGAAGCTTCTCTTCATCAGCAGGGCTTTCAGCTCATTTATTTGAAGACTGTTTTCTAAACACTGCAAGTGTGCTTTGCAACAGGTCAAAGACAATCTTCTCTGCTTTCAGCAATTCCATATTGTACCATTGCTCCGCACTATGCAACCAGTAATTTAACAGGAAATTTCTACTTCAAAGACTCTATTAAAGCAGAGATATTAAGTTCTTAAACATTAACATAAAATAAAAAAAAAGCATAATGAATTCTACATATATTACCTCAGAGTGCCATGAATTAGGAAGATCAGATCTTCTACCTTGGAGTCCATTTCTTCCCTTTAATTCCCTTGCCTGTGGAGATGGCCAGAGCCCAAATCTCAGAGGAAAGAGTCAAACCCTCCCAGAAAGAGATCTCATCCTTCTGCCTACCATTTAGAAACTAGTCTTAGTTCTAATGCTTGAGATTTAGCATCCCCAAAGTGTATCATATTGGAAAGGAAGTTTTGCCCTTTCCTCATTCATTGTTTCCCAAAGTGAGTTGTGCATGAGGTGGTACAAACCAGTGACACTGATTGATGAAAGAGTTAATATTGGTGGCAATCTGGTAGAGGAAAACCAGTGGAGAGGCTTAGCTTGCCATCTGGAGCAGATAACTTTAAAACAGCCTGAGAAATGGGATTGAAGATGAAGTAACTGGAATAAGAAACACGCTTCCTCACTTTTCCAGTGCAGCAATCTGGAGGCATTGCAGCTGAGCAACTTCTGGCAGCATCCCTGCACATCTGTAGCATTCATTGAAAAGAAGTAAACAGCATCAGTGAGCTGGAAAGACTGTTTTCCTTACTGACCCCCTGCAGCAAATCTGTCCCAACCTCAAAGGAGAAAAAAATCTGATGTGTATTTTCCTAGGAGTTGTCTGCATCTGTATTCATTATTCTTTAATATGCTAGTGTGTTATGTTTAGTATGTTTGGCTTACTATGACCAGTTAATGTTCTATTGACTAAAAAATACAGTAGCTTGACAAATTCTCAGAAATTAACTTATTTGAGAAGGAAGGACAGAATGATTCAGAAAAAGGGGAAGTGGTGCAAGACAGTGCGTATTCAGTCCTCTTTTCAAAAACTTCTTCCCCAAAATGAGAATTGCTGGAGAATGCCTCCCTTCTTCCCTCCTTCTGCTGATCTCTTCCTTCCTTGAAGCAAACTACGGGCTCTGGGAACAAGGCAGCTAATAATAAACTCCTCAGCTGAAGTCTAGGAAAGCAGCTTGGTCAAGGCTTTGCCTGCCAAATGCTGACCAACACATGTTCCCAGCTGCCAGCAGTGACTGACTGCTAGCCACGTTTTTTAAACCAGTTATACTTCAGCCTTCTGCCCCTCAGGGCACATTTTGCTCCAAACAAGACCTCCCAATTCCAAATGATGGAGTCAAAGGTACTTGACTCAAGGTCCACCTACTATGCCTCATGTCCGTGAAGCATACAGGGACTTCTCCAATCACAATATATTAACACAACTGCTCTTGTACTATGACTCCTCAAACAAAATCCCCACTGCTGTTTTCATCCATGCCCACACCAACAGGCTGTACAGGAACAGTGCTGGCATTTCTACAGTGCCAGCCAGCAGACAGACAGCACTTTTTTCAAAATTACCTTTTATCAAGGTTTGTGTAATGGTTCTTGCCTTGAGATTCCCCCTTATTGCCTTCTTTTACCAGGAAGGACACAGGGCCAAGAGGGAACACCAAGACAGCAGGAGTAACATTTCCTACTGGTCAGGCAGGAGCTCAGTTGCATTTTGGCCCCAAGAGCAACCTCTGGTGCTTCACTTGAAATGCTGACCCAGCTGTCCACTGAGTCTGGAGTCTTTAAAAGTCGTGCAGGTCACCTTTCTGTCTGGAGGACCGCAGTGCCAGATGAGGAAGCAGCCAGCACTGCTGAAGGTATGAGGCTCCCACTCTCTCCAGAGGCTGCTCAGAGGCTGCCTGGAAATGCAGCAGAGACTGTAGAGGTGGGAACTCACTGAGTCAGGTTTCCTCAAGAGGGGAAATAAACCCCTTAAGGGACATAAAAGCATGAGCACCTACAGTCAAACACCATGTATGCTGGTGCAGGGGTGTGTGGAAACCAGGCCAGCCTAGCTCCTCCCTGAGCTGCCCCATGATGCTGGGAAAGATGAGAAGGGTATGGGAGGAAGTTTGGGCTCGAAAATAGTATGGACAAAGGTGGCTCCTTGGATTGGGACCCTACTGAATTACACAGCTCTCACCAGTGTCAATGCTATGGCTTCATGATCCCATTCCCCCTTTAGTCAAGGCTCTTCTGTACTGCAGATATTTGGGATACCTTCCTGACCACAGCAATGTTATTTTCCTGAGGCATAAGGCACTTAGGGTTGGTTCCTAAGGGTGGTACTACCCTGACTCCTCCTCTTGTGGTGAAATCTCCTCCTACCACTTCCAGGTTGTAAGTCCTGTCCTCCCTCCATGCTGCCCCACCAAGCACAACAGCACAAGCATTTCTGGAAATGGTCTGTATTTCTAAGGGGAGAAATAACTCACCTTGGTAGCATCACAATACCCAGGAGAAGGAAAGAAATGACAGCAAGTTAGTAGGCAAAAATCCCATCCCATCACAACAGTGCACTTACTATTGGGACAGTAAGGATAATGGAGTGCCCACTCCTCCCTAAAATCTTGTTCACTGCAAGAGTGCTGACCAGGGATAGCCAGGTAGAGGATAACACCAAAGGAACCTATTTTTATAGCTGTTAAAGAATATCAGTAATTTTTACTTATTTGAAGGTGACAGAAATCAACAGTTAGCATTTCTTCCTATTTCTCTTTGCCTTTTTGCTATTCCAGGGCTTAATCCAGAACAACAACAACAAATGGAAACAAACAAAAGGAAAACAACAAACAAAAAAGGAAAAAACCCTGTGTGCAGCCTTATGGAGGACTTTCCAAGCCACAGATGCTGGCTCTGTGGTTGGCTGGTCTATCCAAAATAAAGCTCAGCAGCAGGGAGCAATGGAGTAGTTCAGGGGGTAGAAAAGGTCATGCGAATGTGATCCCCACCTCCCAAACTCCACATCTCCTTACGCTGCCTCCTCCTGCTCCTTTTGGGATGGAAGGAATTTTTTACTTTTCATTTTTATTTTCAGCCTGCCTTTTTTATCCATTTGCCAACTGGGGTCATTGAAAGTGACTCTTGCTGCAACTACTTTCCCATGACAGAAAAAATGAGGTGAACTATTCTGATGGCTTATAGGTGAAAAGGCACCAGCAGCTTTGATGATGAGCCCCTTTGGCTGTGCCGAGCTGGCACTGTGGGAGCTCAGAGGCCACCATGTAACCCTCCCCTTGCCACAGGGACAGGCATTCTCCTGCCCTGGGTGAAACTGTTGACTGCAGAGACTGTTTTCCCAACAGAGAGAGATCACAAGAGCCTTGAAAACAGGGGCCATGAAGGCTGCTAACCCCTGTGCACAGATGCGTGGTACTACCCTCCTCACAGGAGAAGGCCATTTTGGGTGAACAAACATTAAAAAAAAAGAGGAAAGAGGAAAAAGGAAAGAAAGTAAGCAACCTCATTTTAATAATTTTTGACATCAGAATGCATTCATACCATATACTTTTCCTCTGAGAGGAGTGCACAGCCTGTGTTGTGGCTCAGCTACTGGTACAACTGAGCCATGTCTACAGGAGATGCCATGAAACCACTCTGGGGAAAACCTACAAACTCTGCTGCACGTCAGTCTGGGGGCTGAAGCAGTGCCCAGCTGGGCAGAGGACATGTAAGAGGCATGGCCCCTTTTTTTCACAGCCAGCACATTCATTTCTCTTCAGGTGTGGGCTTCAGTTTCCTAATGAAAGAACTATTTCGGAAGCCTTATGTTTGCCAAGAAAATAAACCAAGTCTAAACATCACACCTTCCTCTGGGAGGATATTGGATGTGGATGATGGGACTGTACCTGTATGTTTCGATGCTGCCAGCTAGAAAGTTTTTCATTGCAAGTGTTTGATTTACCCTAAGCACTATGCAAAAGCAAGCTGAAAGACTGCTGTCACTTACCAAACCTCTTGTAGCCGAAGGACTGCACCTCCTCCTCCTCTGCAAAGTCGTCTGGAGAAAGAAAGACACAGCAGCAGATTATTACTACTACCACTGGAAAAAGACGAGAAGAAGTTTTTACAGGTGCATGTTCAAATAATGTAAGTTTACTTGGTTTGTTAGGTATGCTACTGCTCTTCTCCTCTGCTGCTCCTATCCCACCTCTGTCTCCAAGTGCAGAAGGCAGTTCAGAACCTTTCCCCCAATGAGAATCCCCAGCAGAACTCTGGATTACAAACTGTGCAGATTTGTCACCTGGCAGCCATCCTGAGGCCTGCTTGGCCAGCTAAGTGCAGAGCAGAGCAGATATATGTTCCTCATCACAATGACAGCCACAATTGTCACCAGTGTGCCACCTGATCAAGCTTGCCCGGGCCACAGGAGTCTGAGGGGATGGTTGTCTATCCATCCATCCATCCATGCATCCATCCATCCATCCATCCATCCATCCATCCATCCATCCATCCATCCATCCATCCATCCACCCATCCATCCATCCATCCATCACCTCCCATGCACACTAGCTTGGCCTGAAAATGTCACATCCCATAAAACATGGGAAACAGAGCAGAGAAACTCAGAGAAGAAAAATAAAAACGGAGATGGTGAAGATTGTGAAAGGTCTAGAGGGGAATGGCTGAGGTCAATTGGTTGGTTCAGCCTGGAGAAGAGGAGACCGTGGGCACACCTCACAACAATCTACAACTTCCTCATGAGGGGAAGTGGAGGGGCAAACACTGATGATAGGACCCGAGGGAAGGGAAGCTGTGGGGAGGTTTAGGTTGGCTGTTAGGAGAATATCAGGCTCCTCAGGGAAGGGCTCACAGCACCAGCCTGCCTGAGTTCTAGAAGTGTTAGGACAATGGGTTCACACACACAGTGTGATTCTTGGGGCTGGCCTGTGCAGGGACAGGAGTTGGATTTGATGATCCTTGAGTGTCCCTTCCAACTCAGGATATTCTATCATTTGATGATTCCATCATGCCTTTTGTTCTCATCTTTACAGTAAGCAAGCAGTAATATGCTAATAATCACAAGGTTATTTTGTCAGAAGCGGAATTTCTCTCCATTTCCTTCCGTCAGCAAAGGAAAAGGCTGGCATCAGCAAAAAAGAAATACACCCATGACTCTTTATTAAAAAAAGAATATGTTTGTGTTCATGTGTTCAGCCTCCTTCCACCAAAACAACCTCTCATTCTGCTGAGCCAGGAAAGGCAAAAGCTCTGCCTTGTCACCAGCCCCAGCCTCTTTATCAACTGCTGGGAGGGCAGCACAGCCCAGGCTGTTCTTCTCTCACCTCTGTATTTCCCAGAGGGAACATTTAATGACTGGTGGAGGAAAAGCAAGCTCAAAGCAGATAAACACGTGTGATGGTGTGAGAAGTCTGTGTTTAGTTAGATCTTTTTTGCCCACAGACTTGCTGCACATGATTGGGCTGCTTTGCATCATGAAATTGGGCTAACTGGTGCCACAGCTAACTTGGGACAGCACAGAGCCTTGGGGGGATGAATTCAAAGGCAAAGATACAGTCTGCATCCAGGCTCAACAAAGCCTAAACAATTTGTGTGCATATCTCCAGCAGGAAATCTGACTTGTTCTTCCTTCTGACCTGTGAGGTGCCACAGACATTAGTCTCAGAAGGACACTTTGCCTGAAGCAGCAGCAGAGTTCATGAAATGCATCATTTTGCAGAACATCACCCTTTACTCAGACAGAACAATTGATTAAACAGCTAAAAACATATTCTTCACCAGGTAAGACATTTTGCTTATTGCCAGCAGTGCTCCTGTCCATATCTTTAGCTAGACCCCCAACTCAGATATGCATTTAAGAAGTGGAAGAGTCAGTGGATGCTCCTTAGGCAAAACAAACACATCCTGGTTTGGAAGACAGAAAGAAACCTTTAAAAAAACCAAGCCAAACAAACCCTCACAATTGTCCCAAATGTTATCTGAAGACAAGGCCCCCCAGCTAAACACGACAAGTACTAATAAACCATAAACAGTCAGCAACCAACTTCTCATCCCAGTGAGCTACACAGGAAAGATCTTCCCCTCTTGCACGAAAGATAAAATGCTGCACAAAATAAGATAACAGCTCCAGAGACCTTAGCTTCCTGCTCTCTCCTGCTATCAGGCTGCAACACAATTGCCTCCTTTGTTTTTCAGGAGTGTAACCTGGCTTATCTGACCCGCAGCTGATCTATACAGCCAGGCCACCTTTAAATCCTGCAGCTTCATCCCACACCACATCTCCAAGTCCTTCCTCCCAGGCTGACAGCCCCTTCCCGAGTTTTCTTGTTTTTCATGCTTAGACCAACAACATTGGCTTTTGCAACATTTTTGTTTCTTTGGCCATTTTGGTATATGCAACATGTTTACATATGTACATATGATACATTTCTATACACACATATACTTTTAAGTATCTATATATATATGCTTTTCAGTATTTGCAAAGCTGCATGTTATTCTTTCTAGGGATGGGCTTTTTCCTTAAGCTTTGGATAACTTATAATTAATCATTCATCTCCTAATTTTGAAGAGCACTTGTGATATTTGAAACAAAGAAGTGGAGATGGGCAAGGGCAGTTATGTCAAGTGGTGACTCGCCTCCCTGATCAGTAAAATCTCAAACATCATCTCTGTGAGCTGATCTTGCAAGGGGCAATCAATGTAATTTTAGGAGAAATCTTTAAAAATTATTTAACAGACAAAGCTCAATGTTCTTTCAGTCACAACTACAACTTTGCTGAAATCATGTGCAAATATACTACTTTAAAATATTAACTGTAATGTAACAAGTTTAAGGAAAAAAAAAGATGGAGGAAATTAATAAAGCAAGCTTAGACTAAACATTCAGAAATTACAGCACTTTGGAAAAAGAGACTAAGATGGGTTGAAAGTCCTACCTCAGAAGAAGTCTATGTTTGAAATATCAAAAATGCAGTTGACAAACAAGCCTATAAATTTAAGTCCCAAGGCAAAGCCCTACACCCAGCCTGCTCCTCCCATGTCTGTTGGGCAGTATTGTCCTCACTGGAGGCAGCAGAAACTTGATTCTCAGCTCCCTGTTTCAGTGCTGAAAATATTAAAATTTTGTCACAAGTTCTACAAAAATCTCAAAGTTTCCTGATATCTTCAAATCAGCAAAATACAGGAGAACCTAAGTTTTCATTTAAAAGGTAACAGCTTTTCTAGTGAAAACTATGAAAATGTGATCTGTTATGAATTACAGAGGTTAAGAAAATATACACCAAGTAAGAAGTCAAATACTATGAACACCTCCAGTATATTTTAATGACTTATGGTTTTAAAGGTAATATCAGAAATTGTTGTGGCAGAAATTCATGAGCTTTGAACACCAGTGACTGATCTTAGAAATGGAAATTCTGCATTTTCACATCAGTGGTGCCCACACTTGAGTGAGGCTGCAACTGGTGTAGGAGGAGTTTGCTGGACATTGTGGAAGCCTTAAGTTAGAAATATTTTACTTTAGTTTAAATCCAGTCCTCAGTTACAAAGAGGACTGGAATGAACACAGTATTTCTGTTACATACACATGCATTAATATGCAGGCAAGGCTTATTTTCATAGGCGAAAAATATGAAGGGCAGACTCCTCCTTGAAGCAGACAATCAAGGTGAATTTGTTGTTATGTCCTGGTCACAAGAATTAACTCTTTAGTGGGGGGAAGACCAGCCCTAACTCAGTTATAAGACACCCAACTGAGCTCTCAGCTGTGAACCAAAAATCCAGAATAAGAAAGATGAAGAAACATGAAAAGCTGGTCTCTTATTCCACTGACTTGTACAGAACTCTGGCAGCAGGAAGGTCCATAAAAAAGGTGAACTTTGGGCAGAACAGAAACATATGTGAACAACCAATTGTATTTAACAATGCAAGGGAAGGGCCATCAGAGATCTCCTGTTTTATTGGGTTTACAAGAGACTCCTTAGATGCTAGAACAGATTGTCATGGGGAGATTACAGCAGGCTGCTACAAATCACTGTCTCACTGAGGCTGAACAGCAATACATCAAATATTCTAGGAAGTCAGTGCAAAGTAAGAGTTCTGGTCCAAAAAAGTAAAAAAAAAAAAACCCTTTGAGAGATTTTGGCAATATCCATGCCCAATTGAGTACCAATGCCAAATTCCACTTGCCCTCCAGTTATAAGCTATTACTGCAACACCTCTAGTAATTTCAGTTGTAGGGTTAATAAAGTTACAGTACAACGCTTCAAGGGAGTGGGAGTTATGAAAAGGCAGTTCAGCTGGGGATTAGCACAGCGAACAGAGGAATTCATTTAATCTAAAACAAATTAGACTCTCATTTGATTAATTTGCTAGTGGCAAAGCAAATCTGTGGAGTAGAACTGTTTAATTTCTTGTTCTTAAACCTTAAATAAATTAATCATGGATCACTTATGAGTCACTCTGAGGTCAAGAAAGAGCTGGCCTGGAGCCAAAATGGATGCTAAATCTGCCCCTGAGACAATACAGGGCATAAAACCACAGCACCAGATCTGAGGAGCCTTTGGTGCAAGGTGATTTTAGGCAAGTTGTTTCCATTTTAGCCCCTTCCTTTCATGGGTGTCATTGTTGGCATATGGAAGGTGTTAAAGAAACCTGCTAATGTACATGTCCAGCTGTCTCCTTTTAACAGTACACCTTGCTCAGCCATTTAAACCTAATTAACTAACGAGGCAAACAAGACCTCAGAACCATTAGAGATGCTGGGTCATATGGTGGCTGCAGACATGTGGTATCCAATAATTTCAAGAGCACTTGTGTGCTGCAAACATGGATACAAAATCCTTCTTTAAAGACCTTGTCTGAAGTCTTAAATAAAGAAAACAAACCAATATTCTACATTGCATTTCAAAATCTGGGAAAATCTATTCCGGGAGAGAATGAGGCATCTGGGCTGAAAATTGTCATGCCAAGTTTCACCCCAGATTTTAGAAGTTCCTTTATAACCCCCTGAAAACTCAAATTACAGTACATTAGAAC